GTTTTGTGGGTTGGTTCTCTTGGTTCTTAGTTTGTTGGTTTTTTCTGTTTGTTGGTTGGTTTGGGTTTTTTAAGCAGTTTCCTGTTTCATAGTAGCTGTTCATAGGATTAAAATTAGCCTGTCAGCCATTCAGCATTTGGCATGGGACATCAAAGCTTGATAGCAATGAAGTCAGTCAGTCTTGCAACGATACTTGATATAGTTATATTTAGATTAAATAAAATATGGTGTAGAACCCTTTTCTTGGCTTCTCAGACACATCATATGTACACCCTCATGCAGCTGACTGAAGTTGGGGAGGTGAGGAGTAGAATGAAGATGAAGAATACACACGGTTTGTGAAGTTATTTAGAGTTGAGAGTGGGGAAAGCTTGGGTGTTGTTTTTTATGTATTTATAAAATGAAAACTTTATAAAATATGAAGGTTTTTAATTTTATTCTGAGAGAGAAAGCTGAGCCTTTTGCTGCTGTTAATATATGTGATGACTTCAGGGGCTGCTTCAAGTGTCCAGCAACTGCAGTAGGAACAGATTAAAAAGATCAGTATGATCTACACAAATGTGGAGTTTGGGCTGCTTTGGTAATAACACTTAAAGCTTCTCAGTGTATGCAGTTGTGCCCTGTTGCCTTTATGACCATGTCCTCTCTAAGCAGTATGCAGAAGCAGAGAAATACTGCTTAGAAAAGAAGGAAGCATAAAACTGTGGGGGTGCTGGTTTTGTTGAGTATTTTCCTAGTGCTTCTTTTCTTTGCTCTAGCAGAAAGCTTCCCTGATTCCCTTACAACACCAAAACATAAAACATGAGGGAAGCTCCATTTGAACCATGGTAGTCAGCATTTTGCAGGAAAACTTAGATGAGTATAAGTGAAACTACAGTAAAAGCAATGAGATCAGCAAAAGAAAATGCTCCCTCCTTTACAATTTTATAAATTAATAAAAAGAAAATAAAATTCTAACAGCTTAGATCTATAGCAGATACTCAGCAGGGATGCAACTATTTCTCTCACTGAGATTGAAATAGGAGTTTCCTTGTATCTTTGGCAGATCTTAAATTAATGCACATCATCCCATTATTCCATAATGATGCAAGAAATAATTATTTCTAATGAAAAGAAGTTCTGAGTTCATACCTAGTTTACAGAGTATTGCTTTCTAACCTCTGCATTGTAGTTTAGCTGTTAGCACATCATCACTCATTTCAGTGACATTATGATAATACATTCACTTTGGGGCAACTACCACACCAAAATAAATGAGTTGAGCCTGAAGAGGTCTATATACAATGCCAAAACTAATGCTAACAGAAAGGAAAAGATACAAAACATAATTGTGCCTGTGTATGAGCACAGTGTTCTGCATGCAAAAGGATTATCGATTTGTACTTTCTTACTCCTTACACTCTGCTTTTTGTGCAGAAAAGAACTTCGTTCCACCCCCTACCTACCACCTACATCCCAGCTAATATTAAAAGCAGAGACAACTCTATAAAGAAATTATGTTGCTGAGGTCATTGCTTTTATAAAGTACTCCCTATCACTTTATGAAGCATGGAAAATGAAGTTGTTTAAAATACTGTTGGATACAGATTGCGTAAAGTACAAACAGCTTTTTTGCTTTCTACTCTGTTTCTTCTCTAATTTCTCTAAATTTCAAGGCTGAGGCATCTTCTTTTATTGTTTAGCCAATCTACTCCACAATGAGAACCCTGTAGTTCTATTCCCATGCCATAAAGTCATCTGTTCTTCTGGTGATCTAAGTGGTGGTGTTTCAGTTTTTCTTTTTTTCCTTCCATCCAGGTACTGCTATGTGGATATTTGTTAGCAATGACTGATGTGGAATCTACATATGCAGACTTTATTGCTTCAGGAAGAACAGGTAGAAGAAATGCATTACATGACATACTTGTGTCCTCTCCGGGTGGGAACTCTAGTGAACTAGCCTTAAAGTTATCAGAGCTTGATATAAACAAAGCAGGTGAGTGCTTTTTGGACTTCTGTTATATTTATTTAAAACTGAAATGAAAAGACCAGTACGCAAAGCATGGTTTATGTGCACACATTATTACTTTGTCCTTCAGCAGCAAAAATATTTTTTTTCTGATCACCAGGTGTTGCCTTCCATAGGAATCCCAGATTTCATAAATGGGAAGGGTAGTTATTTGCAAGTGCAACATATCACTGAAAAATATATGAGGAGTACAAGGAAGAAAATAAGGAAGTCTTTATTAAAACCCAACTCTTCATAATATCCTTTAAGGGAAGCTCTCTGGTTTGAAGCCTGCAGGAGAAGCCATGTGGCTGCATGAAAGGTTGTTGTGAAATTTTTTTTTCAGCTGCCAAAGGAGAAAGCAATAGCAATGCATCGTTGTTTGTTTTACCTGGACCTTTGTTTCTGAGTAAATTGTCTCTTACCTCTTGCTCCTTCTTTTAAGGTGATAAGCAGTAATACAATCCTAAATTTTACATTACCTATTGTATGACCAAAATGTTTTAATGGTTGTGCACCTTCAGTTGAGAGGAAGGAGGGACAGTGCACCTTACATTGCATTAAAATAGTAATATGAGTGCATAAGTATTTTCATATCATGTGGATGGGGGTTAACGAGTGGATATTACAGATAAAAGAAAGTCGTTTTCAGATCTTAGGTGAGAAGTGTTTTGCTTATTTTTATAATGGCAGAAGGAAAAAAATGTGGCAAAGAAAAAACTGTTGAGAAGCAGCTGCCCTATTTATGCACATACTTTTCTCAGGGACAATGGCAAGAGTTCCAAGAGGCAGTCTCTTCACAGGACAGACAGATGTGGGCAGCATGATGTTCAGGTGGTTGTAGTGCTGTTTTGACAGGGGGATTTTTTTTTTTTGCCTTTCAGACTACTGTACATCCTAAGTCATTCCTACTCCAGTTGCCAGTTTGGCACCTATGGCTTCTAGATACATGCAATTCCAGCTGGGCAGGGCCTTTAGTTTTTTTCTATTTAAAAAGAAAAACTTTATTAGTATGTGTGTAGGTGTGCCTATTTATTTTAATGTAGGGATACATGTAAAATGTTGGGAAAATAGAAAGTGCCATTTGAAATGCATAATGCCAGCTTTCCTTCTTGCTTTGATTTTCTTCAGTCTCAAATGTACACTTATCAAAATTGTCTTTGATCTTGTCCATTTAGAAGATATAAACAATCCCTATTTGTAAGTTAAGATGTTGGAGTGGTTATAAGTCAAAACTGGGTTTCTTTTGTGAGCTATAAAAAGAATGTGACTTTGTGCTTATAATATGTGTTGATATGTGTTCTGTGCATGCAGTGATGAGAATGGTTTAAATAATTGTTAGCCTAATTTTTAATATAGAATAATTCAGGAGCCTAGTTAGTTTTTCTTAGAGATCCCTAAGCCTGGGTAGCTTAATCACTGCAGAAAGGTATACAGAATTGCTCACAAAATTACCATAGGTAGTAGATACACAGAAAATGCCTGTGTGTTTCTTCAGGAGGTTATGCAGTTTGAATGAGATGTAATGAAAATATATTTAAATTTTGCATTATTAGTACAACTAGGTGCCAAGTAAAAGCCTCCAAACCACAAATATTGGAAAATGCATTGTCTTACTTAGAATCCGTATGAGTATTAGTGTATCATCCCATCACATCTTTCCCCAAACCAAGAGAGGCTAAAAAATATTTTGCATGGCAAATCCCGGTTCAGAATACATTAGTGCTTGTGGGATGCATACATGTATCACACCTGACAGGATTAAGAGGAAAACACATGTTTGGGGGTTATATCTTCTTTCTTTCAAAGTGCATGTCAAACAATTTATGCTAAGTACCACATAATTATATAAATATAGACATCAAGTTTCGATTCTTTCCTTTTTCTTTTATTCTTATTACAACTACGTGCATTTTCTTGCAAAACTGCAAGTACATTTGCTTTCAACTGCGTGGAGTAATGGCAGAGTAGGATAATGCAGATGTTTAAAAAAAAAAGGTGGTTATAAAACATATGTAAATTAAACTACTCAGGCATATTTAGTACATTCCCTTTGAAAAACCTGCAGATACGTTTCCTGTAAAAGACAGGAACGGCTTCGAACAGCAGTAGGCAGTGAAGCCTTGTTCAAAGACCACGTATTTTTTATGTCATGCACTGTTTGATACCTGAAGTGAGCGTCGGTTAATTCCCTCATCAATGAGCCAGTGACAGATAATCAAGAGTTTACTGCATAATTATGTATAATACATGTAATTACTGTATAACACTCTCCCTTCAAAACAACTGTCCCAGTTTTCTTTGTCCATAATAAGCTAACAACCTGCTATTATCTGTGGAATGGACATATTTACCAAACCTCAAAATACAGGTTCCAAGTACTCTCTGTCAACACATTTTATCTAAATTTAGTAAAAGCAACACTGTGTACGTCTGATAAGTACAAAACTGCAACAGAAATCATAAGGCAGAAGGCAAAAGAAAGATTTTAGTAGGAAAAACAGCAGGTAGCTCACCTGCTCAACACTCTCAAGGTAACCAGTGCAATCCAAGAAACTTGATATTCAGATTATCTTACAGGTAATTGTAGCGAAATGAAGTAGTAAGGAAAAAGTGCAATGAAGAACAGGAACTTGTCTCTGCAGATCTAATTTCTGGAACAACCTGCTGTTTTTCTCTGTGTCTTCAGTTATGCTACAGAACATGGAAGTAGAAAGGATACTTTCTTGTGAGAATTGTAGTGGTCCAGCCATCTACAAAAAATGGGGATAATAGGTTGTTGAATTAATACAGAACTGAAGGACTGATTGTAAAAATTTGTGATTAAAAGTTATTTCACTTCATGGGTTTAGGTGTACGTATGTGGAATACTGGCAGGCGCTGTAAAGTCAGTAGCGTTCTAGGAAGAAAAATGAGTTCAAAGCTGTGCATTAGCAGAACAATTAACTGTTACCAGCTTACCAACTCACACAACTGTATGATGGCTTAGAGTATCATATTATTAGGTTTTGTTTCTTTTTTTTTAATACTATCCGATGTTTTCAACATGCTGTGTAGGAATTGCAGTCTTACTCCTAAGAGCTTTATAGCCATCATGTTTTAGAGGAAGAATAGTTCAGGACTGTGCTTAGGCAATTTTGGGATTCTCAGAACTTAGAAGCAAAATTATTTCTGTAAACGTATTTTAAAACCCTTAGTAGGCGAGCTCTGCCAGCAGAATGAAAATGTTTGTAGTACCAAGACAATATATTGTAGATTAAATGGATCTAGTCTAGTGAGTTTTTTCATTGATCTGGAAAAGATCTTTTAAGTGGTATTTTAGAACCTTAGTGCTCTTTTTCTGAATCTTTGTGATCTGTGTTTAACATTTAGGTAGAGAGTGTTTGGGCTTTGTATCCAAGATGATTTTTCTTTAAACACAAGGGATTTATTTGCTCTTCAGGGTTTGTTTGGGGTTTTTTGGTAGTGTTTTCTTTTGGTTGGGTTTTTTGTGTGTGTGGTTCCTGTGGTTGTGTGGTTTGCTTTGGTTTGGTTTTGGAGTTGTTTATGTTGTTTTAAATAAGAATTCTTCCAGGAAAGTTTGGCTTGCCTAGATACTATAAGGAATATTAAAGACTTTCTAGTAGTCAGAATAAATGGAGGACAGAGCAGGCAAAAAAGGAACAAAACCACAAGAATTGACTCATCTGGACTTCGGCAGTATTAGAATAAGTATGGGAGGCTTTGTAGAAAAGTGTTTGGACAACATGGGCAAAAGAAATTTCTGTCCAACAGCAAATAATTGCACATAGATCCATCCTGATGGAATCCTTTGTAATGTGAGAGATGAAACTGAGAAATAGTTTTCTGAGCAAGTGCCTTGCAAAACATTTATTTATTACTCAAGACATCATGAACAGAACAAACCTCACTGCTTAATAGTTTAATTAGCTTTCCGTACAACTTTTCATCAGGTTGTCTTTGATAATTCATGATACTCTTCAAGGCATTTTGCTGCCTAAATACTCAGTGCATGATCAAAACACGGGTATCATGTCTGAGCTGTTTGCAATGTTCTTTGCAATGCAAAGAGCTTTTTTCCATTAGCAATGTGCCATTTTTTCTACACAGAAAAAAAGAAAGTGGTTTTGGTGCCTATTTCTATAAACAGAAATAAAGCTGCAGATGTGCAGTCTGATCTGAAATTGGGAAACAATATGTGCATTGAGAACCCTGCCTTTATTCTAAAGAGCTATAGATTAAAGTTGAGAGACACTACTACCTCTATTTAGAGCTCTTTACAACCTAGCCGTTGAATGTTCTTTTCTTAACTACTGTGTCCAGCCAATTCAGTACCATTACTCTGAATCCTTGCAAGATGTAAGAGACAACGTTGTCTTAACATTATTCCTTGTTTAGCTGATTAGTCCAGTGTTCAAGGACTTCTGTCTCACTTGCACTTATCTTCCAGTTACCTGTTAAGTTACCTGGTAACTTACCTTCCAGAACCTGTTAGGTCTTTAATTGTTAGGTGAAATACAACAGTTTGCATATAGGTACTAATAGAACATTGTCAATGCATTTTTAGCCTTCTTTACACAGACTTCATGAGTTGTCTGCTCACTGTGCCACTGTAGGATGTATTCTGTTCCTCAGATCATTCTGTGGTTTGCAGTGAGACAGATGGACTGAACACTGTAGAACATAGTGCTGAAAATGGACACACAGGACAAATACAGCTTTAACAAACTATTGCTTTAATTGAAGTAGCATCTCTTTTTATAGGAAACTCTGTTCAGACTTGGTGCAGTGAGGTTTGTTCTCTTATGCTGCCATAGTATCATAGTGAACAAATTGTCAAAAATACCCTGCTGTTTTTGTTGAAATTCTTTAATTTCTAGCTACTTTAGGTCTTCACTTATAGTGATAATGGTGATTGCAGCTAGGATTTTGCATCTGAAGAGACACCTTCAAAAGCAAATTATGGCTAGCTTAGCAGTAAAAGATTTCATGTTTCAGTTTCAATTTCTTTTTACTTTGCTTTTGAAACTGATGAACAATTGGGGCTCTGGGAGCAAGACCTCTTTATTTTAGGGTGGATTACTCATCCTTTTCTTCTATGTTATAGAAGGAGAAGGAGATGCACAACGAAATCCAAGTGAGCAAACCGGGGAGGCCCAAGGGGAGGCAGCAAAGCAAGAAAGCTGACATCCGACTTTGACCGAGTGGAGCAGCTGCTGGATGTTTTCAGACTACAGGAGTGTGCTGGAACAAATTTGTTTCCATGAGCAAGCTGGTAGAAAAGAAAGTGCATGTGTCTTCACTGCTGGAACCCACTCAACAAAATGCTAAAAATGAGGGTACAGGCTGTGACAGAAGACAGAATTTTCTCTACCTCTGTCATTAGCAATGGTTGAACGTGTATTGATTTTTTGGGATAGTGTCATCTGATGGATCCCTTCATAATGACTACTTGATGGGAACACTTTTAGAAAGTAGAACAGGTAAATCTTGTAGCAAATGGCCTTTGAAATGTCAGAGGATCTAATTGAGTATCTTAAGCAAAGGCTTGTGTGATCCTCAGAGTTTAAAATTCTCTGGCCAAAGTGTTCGCCCATTAAAAGAACTGTAAAGAAAGCACTGTTTTTAGAACTTTGCATCTGTTTTACAGCTCTGTTATTTACAATGGGTTTTGTATTGTACAACTTAGATGCTCCACACTGCCCCTTCTCAACTGCTTATGAAGAATATTTCTGTTACTGTGAATTTTTCTACCACGCGTTTTGAAAGGGCTGGTTTTTTGCATAATGTGGTGATGTGCACATGATAGATCTAAGCATCAACTGCTAAATTGATTATGCCTAAACCTAAATGACTCAGCAACACTAATTTGTTACTAGATGAGCCTTCAAAACGATTTGTTAATGTGAATACTTCAGCGTGTGTTGTGTCCTTGGTACAGTTTTGCCACTCGCCTATAGTTAGTTGCATATCAGAGACTCAAATTGAATCTTTTATGTTATTCTTTCCCATTTTTCTAATTTTACACCCAATTTCTTAATCTTTCTCTGAGATATTTTTTTAAAATGTTAGTCCAAGTACTTTATTGTTATGGTAGTTTTAAGAATACATTTATAACCTTATATGGGTTAAAATTAAGCAAATTCCGTGGTGCTAGAGGTTTTCCTGGTTCACATTGTTAAAGATGGGCCTTGTTTACACATGGGAAAATAACTGGCATATACCTAATTGCCAATTATGTATTCTGAAATTACTTTTAGAATACAGGATAGTCCAATTAGTGGATCATGGGCTGGATTCAGCCAGGGGGACGATTTTTACTATTCCTTGCCTTTGCCTCAGTTGATCAGGCTGTTGAGTTTGCACAGCCAGTAGCCTGTTACTGATGCACCAGTACAGACAAGTGCTAGAATTTGCTACAGCAGCCTTTTGGCTTGGAGGTGAAAAGGGAAGTCAGAGACTTGGCATCTAGCACCCAAAAGACTAGACTTTTTTTCCCATTTCAGCTATTCCAAAATGACAGTCCAAAGTGGACCTTCATCGACATACCAGGATAGCTTGTCCATCCAGGACATCACTTAAAATATCTACAAATTAATAGCCTGTTCTGCAGTAGCTATTGCTGATTGCTTTCCTTCCCCCCATCCTGCCCCAATAGACAAGGCCATACATGAGGCTGAATGCTGCAAAATGGGGCAGCCACACCTCTGTGTGACAAAGGTGAGTGAAGAGAGTGACAAGTAAACTATGGCAATCACACAAGCACCAATCACAAGGTCAGAAGATTTGTTTTCTTTTATTAACAGGAGGTGATGTCACTTTCTTTATATATAGTATATATATTATATATATTTTTGTGTTGTTGTTTTCAAATGTTATGCACTTTTTAATGTTTGTAAACTTTTACTAATGAATAGTGTGATTGCTTCCTGAATATATTAATCATCAGTTAACAAAACATCTTTGTGGCCACAGCTGTTTGTTTCTACCATATGTATCATAGTACTTGTCACCTGAAAATCTTTTGTGAGATATGTGGAGAAAAAAAGCCACTACTGATCAGTATTATGAGATCATTTATTAGTGTTAATAAAAAACAAGCCAGCAGTATGCTTGTGGCTCATTAGTGTAATATTAACTCTCACCTTTTAGTGTTTGGAAGCTGAATGCCTTGCTGTCTTATTAGCTGTCAAATGCCCTATCTTCTTGGTAACAGAAATAATCCATTTGCTTTGAAAATACTGTTACCCTTAAGCTAATTATTTATTCATTTGTTTCACTTGGTGTTCCTTTCAAACATTATTACTGACCTTTTTAAAAATGAATTCTCCCCCTTTTGCTTTTGCATCAAGTCTTCAAGCTGAACTGGTTGCCCCTTTGTCATGGACTAGTTACTGTCAATATAGCACAAACGCCAGAAGGAAATAAGATTCTAGAGGTTTTTTATAGTGTTACTTTATTGATGATCCATGAAACATCATCAGTAAAATGTTCTGGAAAAAGGCAATAGTGAAATAAGTATTTACAGTACATTAAAGTGTTGCTTTTCCTTATTTTCCTTCAGTGCTTTTCTTTATTTCAGTAGACTTTCCTTCTTAATTCTTTTGTGTTGTTAAATAAAATTAATTTCAGCCTTTCCTCTCTATTTTTGTACCTGTTTCTTCTATTTCTCCTCTTATCTTCTGTTGTTTTTAAAGAAATTATGAAGGCCTTTGCTGGTTTTTGAAACACGTCTCTTTGTGATGAAAATAGCATAGTTAATTTTAGAAGATTAAAAGGCTGTTTATGTTCCTCTTCCCCCAAAAGTGTACAAGTGCTTCCTTTATCATTTGAACTCTGCTTGCTCTCTTTAATCTGGGGTCTTTCTGTAGTGTCTATAAGCAGGCCTCACTTAATGTAAACATGTGGTTATCTATGAAAAGTCACAGCACTGTAACTTGAGTATTATTTTTACTTAAACAATTACAGAAGAGCTAGTTGAAGTACATTCACGCCTTTACTTCTTTGTAATTGCATCATATAACAGGGACACTGATGGCAGAACTGGGCTTTGACTGGGCTGTTTTTCCTTTTGCTAGGTCCTTTTGCTGCCACTCTGGCTTCTGTTCCAGCATCTTCTTTATATTTCATTGTTCTCATGATAGGCAAATATTTAAATGTTTGTTTAATCCATGATGATCTTAGAAAGATCTCTCCAAAAAGCTGTATAAACTCAACAAAGTTAGGTCTGAACTATTGACGTAATAGAATACTCCTTAAAGGTTTGGCTTTGGTGGGATTGTGGTGGGTTTTTTGTTTGTTTTACTCTTTCTTTAGCTGGATGTATTCCGTGTTTCCTTCAACCTGAAGGACTGTCACTTAAAAAGTCTCTGTACTCATATTCTTGTTTCCATAATAGTCTATGAGTATGTTTGCAAGAGATGTACTTGCAGAGTTTAGGTTCCCTGTCCACTTGAAAAACACAGATTATAAAATTTGCATTTCTTTCTTCTGCTTATGTCTATTAATGTTGGCCATGTGCTTCAAAAAGCACATGTAGAGACAGCAGCAAGCACATGCATACCATTACTTCATCAAACTATCATTTTAAGCCAGAAGTTCACCATGACCTTTCATACACAGTTATTAAATAAATATGAAAAAGTCAGTATACTTGCTACTCCTCCATGTAATTTCCCTTGCCATGGTTTTTTCTTTTCCACAATTTTGAAATGGGAAAAAGAGTATCCTGGTATGACTGCAAATGGATAATTAATTCTCTAGTGCCCGGAAGGAACAACTACCAAAGTGGTTAAGCTGGAGCTTCTACAGGATTAATGCCTTTTTCAGCTAAACGGAACAATTTCAGGTGTGCTTAATGTTTGTATTTTATGTTTCAGAAACTCAGTGAATTTTGTGCAAAGGAAAGACTGAGAGCTGCTGTTGAGACTGAGCACAGGAATGTAACCTCAACTTTGCAAAATTTGCCTTACCTCAGCAGTCTTATATTGAACTACTGTATTTTTGCCCTGACTTGTTTCTTTGTTTTGCGCTGCCTCTCTTTCTGACTGGTTTATTTTCTGTCCTGGGCTTCCCTCATGTAAAGTAAGACCCTAGAAATATATGGATATGGAATGCTGTATTTCTGTATATTTCACTGACTAAAGGCTTGTAGTGGAAAGGTTGTTTCTCTTAATCGTTTTGATCAGTGCACAAAGGAGTATCTGCTTCAAAGTTCTCCTCACGAGAGAAGCAATAGAGCCAGGAAGGAAGTATGAATTCAAGAAGATAGGCCAGCAATATAAGGAGGAATCTTCTCTTAATAGTACGGCAGGTGGGACCCAATGCAGAAAATAACTTCCTCCATCATATGATGAACAGTCAGGATGTGCTGGTAATAGCTAAAAAGAAGATAAATTGTTCAACTTGAGGTGACATTTTGACTTCAGAACCAACTTCAAGGTTTTCAACTGTGCTCTAGAACAGAAACATCCTTAAAGCTGTGGCTTGTACCTTTGAGATCAATCATAGCATCACCAGGTTCTAATGAAAGAATGTGAGATTTCTTCAATAATATTGAACACAGGATGCTCTCCAAAAGCAGAAACACCTAACAGCTAAGAAAATTACAGAAGTCAAGGTAGTAGTAGGAACATTCTCACTGTGTTCTGCAGGCTCAGGCTGAACTCTGTTTTTTCCTGCAAGAGAATAAGGACAGAGATGATCAGTATTCATGTTTGGTACATTGCCACTGTTTTATGTAACATGCTGCCAATATCTGTCTGAGAGAAAATTATGGTCAAACAATGGTCTGGACAGATAGGATAACTGAATGAGTTCCTATTGTTGTTAACTCACTATCTAATAATGACTTAACAAAATATGAACAAATTTTAAAAGCAGAGGGTAAAGCTAATAAAAATATAGTGCACTCATGCTTACAAAAAGCATCCTCATCTTCTGAAAACAGTGAGACCGTGCTCTACCCTTTTACATTGATTCTTACATTATGGCTTGGAGTTGATGTTTTAGGATGGAGAACAGGACAGACTTGTCAATGCATGAGGTGTGTGTGCAAATGATCTCTTCATATTTTCAGGCAACACATGCTTCAGTACCATAAAACCAAGTGTTTCCAAAAAGACCAATGCTAGTGATGATTTGGTTATGACTTCTTAAGGTAAGCTTTTAGCAAATTAGCCATCAGCGCACACATTTCCATTCTTACTCACTGTTAAGAAATTCTCTGGTGCTGATCCATGAGTGCAGAGTGATAGATGATAGCCTTATAAAGGTTTGACCCACCAGATGATCTTGAGTGCTCCCAAAATGTCTGAGACAAAAATATTTGCAAAAAAATCCACATTACCTTATTGCAATAGCAAAGACACATAATGTGGGTTTGTGTTTGTTAAATAATAAACCTATTGTATCAGTTGTTAATCGGTTAATACTTAGATCTAGTTCCATGTAAAAACCCCACCCTTTGATCCTGAATTAATTTGGTTTTAACATACAAAAGGATGAGGGATGAAATCAAAAAAAAGCAACCTGGCAGTAATTTGTAGGAAATGGTTACATATCTGAGAGAGGGATGGGAGATAGTCGTAGGGAGGTCAAATCTTGAGCAGCTCTGCAAACCACCATCATGGGATTAAAGCTATCTGTCATTCAGTCAGTACTAGTGTGGCCCAGATAATGTATGTGTTAGCAGGTGAGTTGATCTGTTCTGCATCTGGTTTGTTGCATTAGCATGTAAATTAAGTCTTATTGTGTTCATCAAACATGGGTATTGCAAACAGATACACAGAAGCAGTTTTTAAGTATGAACACATAAATAGATGCTTCCAAGGCAGCAAAGGAGAAAACATAATTTTTTTTAACCATGTAGCATGGTGACAAATCCATTTCATTACTCATATATTTCCATTTGTATGTCCATTTTTTTAATATAAAAAATGAGCAACACATGATTGTGCAAAGAAATTCAGTGTTGCAACATGCACATCAGCAAAACCATGTGTTTGTCGTAACAGAGTTCAGTTATTATTTGGGACCTCAAATGGCAGGTGTCTAGCCAATGTGAATTAGCCATACTTTTGATGTGGGAATGTTTTATCATTCATTTTCAGTGGAGTTTCACTGTGTTTTTTACTAGTTCAGTCAACTT